CCCCCAGGCCCGGGGCGGGGTGCTGTGGGAGCCCCTTGTTTGCCTCCGGCTTCTCGGCCCTGTGCTGCAGCCCCAGGGGCGGTAGCTGGGGGCCCAGCGGGGGGCGCAGTCGCACCGGGCTCCCCCCAGGGGCCAGCACCGGGGGGTCTGAGAGGCAGAGGACACTCAGCCTGGCCGCGGCTCCCGGGAGTGTGGGCCCTGCCTGCGGGAGTCTGGCCGGCAGGTGGCTGGCCCAGGCCACGGTCCGGAGCAGCGCCTCCCCTCTGCACACCCCACGGATGAGGCCCCCCCTTGCGTGCTCCAGAGGGAGCTGGCCCCCGGCGCCGGCCCCCCCAGGGCCGGAACCCTGGCTCCCCAAAGCCGAGCCTGTCGCCTGGCGAGTCCCTCGAGGCACCGGGGCTGCCGGAAGGTGGTGGGTGGGCGCGGTGCCGCGTCTTCGGGGTGCTCGCTGGGAGGGGCTGCCCTGCCCGCCGTGTCCAGCACAGCCCTGCCGGCTGCGAGCCCCAGAGTCAGGCCTGCGCCTCACCAGGTCTGGGGGCTTCTCTCACGTCTTTCCCCCTGATTCCGGGGTGGGGTGCTCCCAGCAAAGTGTGGGGTTGCCCCCGTTCCTGTGATGCCGGGCGGTCGTGGGGCTCCGGCTGCAGCAGCCCCAGCCTTTCCTGCACCCCGGCCAGCTCCTCCGTGCAGGGTGGACGGGGCGGGGGGCACTGAACACAGCTGCCTCTGGGCTCTGATGCGGGACCCCCCCGCCCCCCACAGGGCCTCTGGGTCTTCACCCTGCAGAGTGTCAGCCCTAGCCGGGACCCAAGGCCACTGTCCTCTAGGGGGGCCGGGGGCCCACCCTGCCAGCCTCTGCTGGGCCCGCCGCCCTGGCTCCTGGTGGCCTCCTCTCTGCCTCTGGCCCTGTCCCGGAGACTCTGGGCCGCCGGCGTCTGCTGCACAGGCCCAGCCCAGGCCAGGCTCTCCGGCAGGGCCAGAGCCTGGTGCCCAGGGGCTGCCCCCGCCCGGGAAGGCCCCCTTTGTCCAGTCACTGTGCCTGCTCGGGGGGTGTCCGGCCCTGCCCATCACAAGAGAAGCCAGGCTGGGCGTGGGGTGCAGCCCACCCTGGAGCCTGGGGGTCGGCCAGCAGCGCCCGAAGAGGGCTTTCACTGGCTCCTGCCCGTCCTGCCCCCGGAACAGCAAGTGGGGGGTGTGGGCCCCGGCTCCCTCCTCCAAGGTCAGCCGCCCCTGCCAGCGCCGGAGGGACCCAGCCATGTGCCCCCCCGTGGTGCCCAGCACCGTCCCGCCCTCAGGCTTGCTGAAAGCCTCTGGCGGGGTCCACGGGGAGCAGGCCCGCTAGGCAGACGGGCAGGGCCAGCAAGCCGGCGCCGCGGGGCCACCTGGGCTTGGCAGGGCCGTGGCAGTGGCTGCTGTGGCCCAGGGCACAGCGTGGGGGGTCGGCGGCCGTGCACAAGTGCTGCGCTGTCCAGGCGGCCAGTGGGGTCACGGGAGCTGGCCTGCACCTCCCAGCGCGGTGGGCGGGCGCCCCGCCCAGACGCCCCCCAGCACGTGAGCCCTCACAGCCTCCGGCTTCTCGTGGCTTAGAACACACTTGTTTCCGGAGAGGCTCGGAGCGCCGGCGTCGGTCCTGAAGTCGCGTGGCTGCTGGCGCCTGCGGCGGCCTCTGGTCCCACATTGCCCATGCCTCTTGCTGTCCCTTGGCTCCGCCTCCGGCTGACCTGGACACATCCGCGGTTGCCCCCTCCCCGCCGCCGGGGCCCCTGCACCCCTGTGTGTGCCCGGAGACGGGAAGCAGGACTCCCAGAAACTCCCTGCAGGGCAAGAGTCGCCAGAAGCTTTATTTCTACTTTAGATTCTGGGTGCACCTGGAGCCTGTGCGTGGGAGCGAGCCGCCGCGACCCCCCGCCAGTGCGGCACGGCTCAGCCGCCCCGTGGCAGACAGGCGGCTCCACGGCGCCCACGGGACACTTGGGCCCCGGCCTCCCTCCGCCGTGACCGCCTCAGAGCCAGGACAGTCGGCCGGCCGAGCTTGCCACGCTGAGGTGGCTGCTGGACAGCCAGGCGCTGACCTCCCGGATCGCCGCCCCAGTCGCCGAAGATCCTAAAATGCTGACTCTGGAGCAGTGAACCCCAGGGTGCTTCCGCCTCCCTGTATTCCCTATCAGGCCCCGCACTGATGCTGTGTGCGGTTTTCCAGCCCAACCTCACGGCTCCCCCCAGGGGTATCCCCCCAGACTTTGGCTTCAGCCCCTCACAGGTGCTCTGCAGCTTCTGCTGCTGTTGGGATTGGACTCTGTCTTCCACCCCACACTTGATTGCGGCTCAGAACACCAGAAGCTACGGGCCCACCGTTGGATTCACAAGGTCAGACCGCTGCCTGTTCCCTTCAGCTCCCCCTTAACACACGCTGCCCTGTCCATCCTGAGGCGCTGGTTCCGCTGACACCTTCTCCCGCAGCTCTACAGGTCGGCTGTGGCAGGTGCTCCTCAGAGCCCTTTTATGCAACAGTGCACGACCTGGATTGTGGAATGGACGAATCAGGTGTGACTTGTGAGCTGATTGGTGCTAAGTGGTCCAATCAGCCACAGTACTGACTAGTGGGCGGGGCACCTGAGAGAGATATAAGCTGCAGCTTGCCGTGCTGACAAAGGGTTCCAGCCCCTGAAGGAAGCAGAAAGGCAGCACCCAGCAGCCGCCCGTGAGGCGGGCACCGCGGGGCTGTCCGGCCAGGCGCCCTGCCCCTGCCGTCGCCCGAAGGGAGCCCGGCGGCCTGGCCAGGCGCTCAGGGCCGTTGCTGTCGGCGTCACCCAGCCTCTCACAGAGCTGGGAGCACCGGTGAGGCCTCTGGGCCCAGTGGGGGCCATCACACTGGCCAGCGCTGTCCAGACTTCTGGTGACTGGCGGTGACTGTCACTGACACTGTTCGGGTGAGGTGGCCGCCCCGCATGGCCACAGTGACCTCTGTCCCTGTGTCTGAGATGCCCGTGGCGGCTGTTCCTGGAGCCGGGGCCTAGCAGTTGTGCGCCGGGGGAGGCCCCCAGACAGGGACTGTCCACTAGGGGGCCTATCCTGGGCTAGGCCCCAGCCGTGGCACCCCTGTGTGGGGCTTCACCTTCTGGGCTTTCTGGCAGCTCCCGTCTTAGAGTCTGGGCAGGTGGGCAGCTGATCTGTCCTCCTATCTGACCTCCAGACCCCTGCCCTGTCCACCCTGTTCACCTGCAGATAACTTTCCCTGGAGAGAAGTCTTCATGGGCAGGTGGGGCTGCTTCAGTTAACAGTTGTTGAAGAGTTGGCGTTTCCTTGGGTCTGGTCACCCAGGAGCCCTCAAAGTAGCTGCTCATGGACACGGGCCCCACTCATTGGGCCCCGACATCAGCCATTGCCCACTGCCACATCAGCCTGACCAACACTGAGTCACTGGCCCACGGTCCAGGCAGCGCTGGCAGCAGGTGGGGTGGCCCAGAGCCCTCGCGGGGCGGGATCTGGCTCGCTGCGGCCACTGATCCTGCAGGCTGCACAGGCCAGCAGGTCAGGTGCTGCAGGGGGCAGCTGGGAGGGCTGTTGCTGCAGTGCGGGCCCCCGGCCTCCCACCCTCACCTATGTCCAGGGGCAGGGGCTTGGGGGCAGCTGGGTGGGCCCCACAGCCACCGGACCCGCTCCCTTTCCGAGGGCTGTGCCCTGCGGCTGGGCCCAGGGAGAAGCCTGGGTGGAGGGAGCCCGCTCACAGGCTTGCAGCCCCCCAGCTCAGGGGCATTTCTTGGGGGCTAGGCGCGCCCCTTTGCACACAGCCTGATTTCCCGAGCAGGGAGCCCCACCCAGCGGTGAGGGCAGGGAGCTGTGTGGGGAAGAGCACCCCCACTGGCTTTGGAAGTCGGGAATTGGGCAGGTGTGGAGCGGCGGGTGGGCCAGGGCCCCCCGCCAGCCTGGGGAGGTCTGAGGGCATGGGGTCCAGGTTCAGGCCTGGGTGTTGCTGCCGCAGAGCGCATAGGTGCCCTTGGGGCCGGCCTGGGCTGCCTGAGAAGGGAGGACAGGGCGCCGGGCAGGGCCAGGCCGGCAGCAGCACGGTCTTGCGATGCCTTCCCTTCGCGTGGCTGCTGGGCCTGCTTCCCTCCGCTAGGACACAGCATGGGGCCTTCCAGTCTGGACGCCCCGCTGGCCGCCCCCCCAAGCGCCAGAGCTGGGCACAGTCCAGACCCCAGGGGGCCTGCCCCAAGTCAGCTAGGCTGTGCAGTCCCTAGAGCCAGGCTGGGCAGCCCGTTGCCAAGGCAGTGGCGTTGCCTAGCAGCAAGCTGTCACACGGGAAGGTTGCCAAGGCAACCAGGCAGCCACTGCTGGCTGGGACTGGCCTGCTCTCTCTCCTTAGGAGAGGCAGGGAGGGTGTTCTTCCTCTGGGGGCGGGGCTTCCCCAGGGGCCGGCTTCCCCAGAGACTGGGATGGGGCTCCTTCTGGGAGCTCTGGGGGGCAAGGCTCCCTCCTTGGGAGGCTGTCCAGAGTGGGTGTGGCCGGCAGCCACAGCCCACAGGGGGTCGCTGGGGTCGCTGGGGGCAGGGTTCTGGTCTTGGGGGGGCAGGTCCCTGCCCCCCAGGGCCCCCACATTCCGAGACTAGCTCAGGGTCTGCTCCTCCTGCATTTTCGGGCACTCCTGGCAGCTGGCGGGGTGGGCACCTTGCCAGGCCTGCCCCCCGCTGGGCTATGGCCTCGCCTGGACCCCACTGGCTTGGGGACAGGGGTAGCAAGATCCAGGGTGTCTTCCAGATGCACCCAAGTGTAAGCATTTTCTTTTTAAAATTTATTTATGCACACAGAACTGGGGTACAGGCCAGAGGTGCAGGGGGGAGTGAGAGGATTCACCGGAGACAGAGTGGGAGCAGAACTGGTAGATTGATGAATTACACTGCTGAGGGGAGCAGTGAGCGGGTCAGGAGAGGCCTGCTGCGCCCTGTGGGTCACCTCCGGGGCGGGGATCGAACTCGCCCTGAAACAGTAGCTGCGGCCAGCTTCGCAGTGCTGCCCCCAACCCTGTTGTGCCACCAGGGAGGGCCCTAAATGTGACCATTTTCAAACTAGAGTCCCAGACTGTGGCTGGGCCTGCGCATAGCTGGGTGGGTGGGGCTGGAAGGTCAGGCCCCCTGTCTGGGGGTGTGGGAGCAGAGCCAAGGGCCCACGTGCTGCCAGGGCTTAGGCAGAAAGAAGGTCTGGGTGGCCCAGAGGGGAGGGCCACCAGCGGTGAGCACCCAGAGAGCCTCACGCGCGACAGGGTGGGCTGTACCGGCTAGCTCTGCTGAGGAGGTCGTGAGCCCGGGGAGTGGGACAACGGCGGAGCCAGCGTTTCCAGCTTGGAGAAAAGACGACCTCAGATGGAAAGGATTTCCACACGAACAGGAGAGGCACCAAAACCCACGCAAGAAAGTTCTAGAAGCAGCCTCCTGGCAGCACATGGAACAAGAAGCCAGGGGACCTGGAGGTCAGGGGCTCCCAGGGCCAGAAGCCCCATCCAGGAGGGTCTGAAGACAGCAGCATTCCCACGCAGGCCTTCCCCGCGGCTTTCCCACGCGATTGTTCCCACGCGGCTTTCCCACACAATTTTTCCCACGCGAATGTTCCCGGCGGCTTTCCCACGCGATTTTCCCGGCAGCTTTCCCACGCGATTTTCCCCACGCAATTGTTCCCACGCAGCTTTCCCACACGGCTTTCCCACGCGATTGTTCCCACGTGGCTTTCCCACTCAATTTTTCCTACGCGAATGTTCCCGGCGGCTTTCCCACGCGATTTTTCCCAGCGGCTTTCCCACGCGATTTTCCCCACCCAATTGTTCCCACGCAGCTTTCCCACACGGCTTTCCCACGTGATTGTTCCCACGCGGCTTTCCCACGCGATTGTTCCCACGCGGCTGATTGTTCCCACGCAGCTTTCCCACGTGATTGTTCCCAGGGCTTTCCCACGCGGGCGTTTCCACATGGCTTTCCCACATGGATTGTTCCCATGTGGGCATTCCACGCGCTTTCCCACCCTGTCATTCCCACGCGATCACTCCCACGCGGGCGTTCCCACGTGATTGTTCCCATGCAGGTGTGTGACAAAGCTGTCCCAGCCTAGGCTGACACTGGGGGCCGGGGTCGGAGCGCACCTGTCGGGGCGCGCCATGTTCCTGGGCTGTGTTGATTTTCTTGAATGAAAGTGGGAACTGAGAAGAGGCACGTGGAAGGGACCCACTGCGGCAGTGGCCAGGCTCGCTGCAGGGCCGGCCGGCGAGTGCCAGGGCGCGGGAGCGCAGCGGGAAGAATCCGCAAGGGGCCGCCTGGGTGGGGCACCACTGAAAAGAGCTGAAGAATTAGCACTAAAGGGTGAGGGGCGCCCCACCGATGGCCCCTTTGTACCGACAATCGGACCCACGCGACGCCACAGTCCCGGCGAGCTCCGCCCCGGACCGAGCGTCTGCACGCCCATTGCGGCCACCCAGCTCGCCGGCCACCGCCCAAGAGCAGGTGACAGGCGGCCTCTGCAAACAAACTTGGGGGCTTCCCTCCCAGCCAGGCGAAAGGCCCAGTCACTGACATGCCCTGCTGGACGAGTGCGGCCGCAGCTTTGCCAGCCGCCTCCCAGACTGGGCAGGCCAGCGGGCAGCAGGCCCCCTCCCAGGCTGTCCCTGGGCTGGGGGGGGTGGGGGCGGGATACGGGGAGCTGAGGTCTTGCCCCCCTTTCTACACCAGGACACACTGGCCACCAGCCCTGCACCCCGCACCCCCCCAGCTCTGCCAGTAACCCCTTTGTCAGACATCTGCATAGTGCAGCCTGCGCCCTGGCTCCGCCTGTGACCCAGAATGGGGGTTCCATCGGCAGTCAGTAACTCAAGCTGGGACCCCAAAGCAGGTGACGTGCATGGAGGGACCCGTGGGCTTCGGAGGCCAGGGATGGGGAGGGGCCTCTCGGCCTGAATGACAGTGGGACCTGGAGTGGCTGCTTTGGCGAGAAGCGGGGGCTGCAGGAGTGGGTGCCGCGTCAGCGTCAGCTGTGGTCAGACCGCCGTCAGGCGCCAGGGTGGAGCTGCGGGCCCACTCGCCTGCTGGCCGCCCGCCAGGAGTGCAAAGGGTCGCCAAGGTGGGGGGGACGGGCAGGAGAGGGGAGGGGCACAGACTTGAGAACATCCAGACAAGAGGAAAATGGCAAACAGCTGCACCAAAACGCAAATCTAAGGAGAAACAACAGAGGTAAGGACAGTTCAGTAATGTACAAACCTCAAGGGGCTCGTTCCTAAAAACAGAGCTTGCTCCGTTTGGCTCAAGGAACAGGGAAGTTGGCCAGGTCGATAAACATGGCCAAGGAAATGGCAGGGACCCCCCATGCACCCCGCCTCGGCGCATGCCCTTCACCCATGCATCCCACCCCCAGGCCCCTCCCCTGGGCCCCGCCACACGGAGCCTGGAGGGCGAGACTGCCTGGGGGCCGTCCGGTGCTGAGCGGCCTGCTGGCAGGTGTCGGGTGGCCCCTGCGGCTCCCTGTGCCCCAGGTCCTCCCCCCCCAGCGGCTTGGGGCACCTGCCCCTCCCTGGGCGGGGACAGTGGCCCCTGCGGCTCCCTGTGCCCCAGGTCCTCCCCCCCCCAGCGGCACGGGGCACCTGCCCCTCCCTGGGCGGGGACAGGAGCCGCAGAGGGCAGCCAGGGCGGCCCGGGCGCCTGCTGGGTGCGAGGGAGCAGAGGAGCGCGGATGCGGAGGCGCCGGGCAGCCGCACCTGGGCATCCGCCTGGGCTGACGTCACCCCACCGCACTGCGGCTGGCTCCTGGCGGGGAGCTGGCCAGGGGCTTCATTACAGCTGCCCACGGGGAAGGCAGCTGCGGGCAGCGAGGGGCCGGTGGCCCGCGAGGCGGCCGAGAATGGTGTCTGCCGGAAGCGGGGTTGCCAGTGTGGGCTGAGGGCGCGGGGTGCAGGGCCCCGGGGGTCTCGCGAGGCGGGGCGCACGCCCCTAGTCCGCAGTCCCCTCGCCGGGGAGGTGAGCGCCGGTGCGCTGGCCCCCGGGCAAGGACTCACCTGTTACACTGACACCTTCCAGGCTGGGGCAGACCTGCTCCCGGGGTGGAGGACCACCCCCGGCTGCCCCGCCCTGCCCAAGCTGGCTACTGCCGCTGTGGGGGGAGGGGTGGGCAGTGGGATTTCAGGGTTTCATAGAAAGGGGCCCATGGGGGCTGGGGGCCCATGAGCTCGGTGTGGGGTGGCCGCCTGGGCTGGGCGCTTTGGGGCTCTCCCAGGGAGGTCGGGTAGGGGCGGGAGGCTCGGCTGGCGAGGGGCACAGGGTTCGAGCCGCGGAGCCCCCCCCAGTCCGCGCGCCCAGGCCGCGGTGTCTGCGATGACGTCACAGCCCGGCCCCTCCACCAGCCCCCTCCCCGGCCGCGCGACACCGTCCCTCGCCCGCGACAAACCAGCTGGCGGCTGGGCTCGGGCGCCCTC